GCAGTTTCCTGAAGGATTCTACACTACCAGCCAGCCCCTTCTGGAATTCATCCCGTGTCCCATCGTCTCCCAAACGCTCTACCTTCCACCGGAACACTTTCCTCTGTTTCTTACTCTTGATCTTTCTAGATCGGTCGATGTTTGCCCATATGAGGAAGTGGTCGGTCGAACCTATATCTATCGCACTTACGTGCAGCTCTGGGATCTGCGTGCTCCCCCTATCTACCAGGATGTAGTCGAGGATTGAGTATTCATTGCAAACTGCCCGTTGCCTTGTGAACTCCGGCGTATCGCATTCCCTCCTACCGTTCAACACCATCAGTTCGTTGCTCTCCAAGAATTCAAGCATCTTCACTCCGTTGGGGGGGAATTGATATTCTAGCTTTTTGCTGTTTTTTTTTTTGTCTTCTTAGCACGCCCGTGTGAGATGTTTTGGAGTGCTTTAATCGCGACGGCGCGATGGCGTGCGGCGTGACCAATTGTTTGTTGTTTGTGTAGGGGTGGGTTCGGTGCATCGTTCACGTGTGCGGAGGGGCGTCGTGTTTGTTCGCGGCCACTGTCTTTTGTGCCTTGTCCGCTAGATGTCAGAAGGTGTGCGGTACTTCTTGGCATGTACAGGCAACGTTGGAGGTATGCATAGCTAGCGCGAGTTTTTTTTTTTTACGGGGGGGGGGGGGTTTAAAGNTTAAAGTGAAGAATGAGTCTTGGTCGTTCCTTGCCGCACTTCCCCAAGAGCCCTTATTATTTTTTGTAGCCGAAACAACTGGTTCGAAAAACTGATTGTTTTTCAAACGTGGCATTGACATTGAACCAACCTACGAAGGAAACACGTGCCGAAATTGATTCAGGTTGCTGAAGGCAGTGCCGCACCACACGAGAGATACCCTGCACACCAAGCTCGCAGAGGTGTACATGCTCAACGGGAAGCTCGACGACGCTCTAGAGTCGTTTCACTTCGCCATCAGGTAGTCGACACCAATTTACCTGTCCGCGCACTGCAATCAATACGAAGTATGTGGGTTATTGTTTGATTCCAATGCAAATTCGCTTTGCTCTTTTGTTCATCGACTGCGATTGGGTTTGTCGGCAACCTCGGTAAGTTTAACGGTTTGGGTGTTGCTGTGTCGCCCCTTGGCCCGTGGGTGTATTTTTCGTGCCGGCACTACCGCTGTGGGTAACGCCGGTGCGTGTAGTTTCTGATTTTGTCCTCGTGATGAATGGTGCGTATGTGTTGTGGTTGACAGTCCCATTGCCTGAGAGCAAAAAATGTAGCAAGAGGTTGCGGTGTGTTGTAATCTTCGCTGTACCCTGATAAATGACTTATTTGGCGTAACCTTGCTGGTGAACCGACACACCCCAAGTCTGCTGTTAATCGTTCTTGCAACTGCTGTCCAATGGTGTTGGTCCTATCCCGCGGTACTGCTACTTTCCCATGGTATTGGTGGTCCTGTCCCGTGGTTGTGCTACTATTTTATGGTATATGTGGTCCTATGCCATCGTTGCGGTACATCAAACGGAGATAACGCTTCGTTTCGTGTCCTCGTCATCGACGTGCCGGAATCCTCTGATCCCAAAACTAACCTCCCTCGATCAACAGTGCAAACGTGAGTACATCATTCATGCCCTCATCTTACTTCGCCATGACGTTAGGCAGGAACAGCAGTTACACAAGGATGGATGGGTTTACGTGTTGGGTCGCGCGATTCATGCTGCATGGGATTGCCCGTCTATTGTGTGAGGGGGGGGGCACGTATGCTTCCCCTTCGGGGCTGGGCGTGTGAACATCTACAATTCTCAACCACCATACTGCTGTCCAAATGAAGAAGGTGAACAAGTGCTCCCGCCACGACCACAACCCCTACACTAGGTAGGATGCGCGTAAATCTCGCGGCAGTGCATTCCACAGGTACTTGTCGAGCGTGATGGTGGCGACGTCGTGAGGCGTACCGTCGTTGGTGTTGGCTATTCGAAACCCATTAATGATTCCAACCGGATGCAACCCCCCCCGTGTCCAGCTTGAACCCCAGCTGTGTCAAGGCCTCGCAAGGCTTGGAACGGCTGGAGAAGGTGATGCGAGGGATGGACCCCGACGAGGATGATGACGCTATGGTGAGCGATCAGGCCAGCAGCGCCTGCGGCGACGGTGTGGGGAACACGAGCAGGGTGAGGACTCATGAGAGGGATTTGATTGTCCTTGTGTCTGATATTCACACCCGGCCCATGTTGTTGCTGTTGTTGCTGTTGTTGTTGTTGTCGTCATTGCTGTTGAATTGGTTATAATTCTAGCTCGGTCCTAGGTATTGTGGCTCTCCTCTGGCTGCCACGGGGGTGATGCTGCTGTGTGTTGTACGCTCAATGAGTTCCTGCCCCCCCTCCGCCCCCTCCAATTCTACCGCCTCCGCGTGCAGTCATCTTACGGAGGGCGACCACCATCCCCGACCTACTAGGCGGGCGTTGAGGATGTAAAGAAGGACGAGGGAGAACAGAGCGCAACAGAACAAACTTGCTCTAACCCCGCGGACTATTGCTTGGGACGGTGGTGTGGTGTAATGTAGCTGGAGTGCCGCAGACTCTGCTGTTGGTGATGCGCTGCTGTTGGAACAACCTTGTTTCTTGTCTAAATAATTATTGGTTTGTGTCCCCTGCGTGTCTTCCTTCTTGGCGAGTTTGGTACACCACGTGCTGCAGCAGCAGCAGGACACGCGGGTTGTTTACAAGCACCTTGGCAGTAGTAGCAGTAGTAGCGGTATTAAGACGCAGCGTTCTGCGGCAATGGTCCTGGCCTCATCGTATTGGAGGCTGGCGGAGCGGTGAGTTGGTCGTGTCCCCCGAAGTCAACACGCCTTGTTGCGTAAACACGCGGGCATCGACATAGTGCCTTTCCAACTGCGAGCTGCTGTATCCGAACCTCTCCCGGCGATATCGCCGATGGGATGGTTCCAAGAGCAACCTCTGCGGAAAACATTCAGAGTCAATGGTTCATCGAGAGACAAGACGGCATGTGTGTGCAGAACACGGAGAATCTGTAGCACTGCTGCTGCTGCTGCTGCTGTCGGCATTTTTCGGACTCCTCTGAACGGGATGCTCCCGGAGTCTTGGCACTGCTGTAGTTTTTTTGTTTTTTTTTTCTCTCATCGTTGGACTCTGTCGTCTGCCCCTCTGGCCCCTATCCTCCACTTCTACCAGCTAGACGACCCAACCGGGGTCACATATGAGGGGGGGGTTGGACCCCCTCCTGCGGTTCCTGGCTGAGATATTTTTATCGCGGGAAGGGTGCAGCAATCCCTTCCCTCGCGACTTACGAGGTCGATTATGGTTTACTAACAACGAGCTTTGCAGCGCGTCGCTTCCAACGGAGACCAGGATTTAATTTGCGAGAAAAAACTCAGATCTGTCGGGACTCGAACCCATGACCTGTATGTAGTATTCCCTTGTCACTCTTGGGGTTTTGTTGCCAACGTGAAGAGTTAGTTACCCCATCCCAAGCAGAGCACGATGGACTTCGGCCCTATGCACGCAGCGTTGTAGTACGTAGTGGCCGCCAAGCGACAGGCGTGTGTGCTTGGCGGTTACCGATCGTCTTGTCGCTTGGACGTCTCCTCGTTGGACGTGATTGATTCTCAACACAGCGCCCGCGTCGTGCTTCTAGACTAATGTGGCGCAGAAGGTAGATTACTCGCGAACGACGGTATTCACGGGTAGTTGCAGGGCCGACAACATTTCCTCAGCTCGTTCGCACTTCACGGAGAACACATAACGAAGCAGCCGTGCCAGAGAGGAATGGGCCTGCCTGCTTTTTGGTAGCGCACCATCTCTCTGTCTCTTTCCTCCGGCATAGAAAACCTTCCGCCTTGCAAGACGGAAACGAGAGCGAGTGTCGTGCCACAGGCTCCCAATCTCAAACCCTCCTCTGCCCGTTGGAGCACCAAAAAGTATCGACGACATATGCATATGGCCAGTATCCAATCACGTTCACCGAAGTCAATCGAGACACAAACAAGCCTCGCGAGCTCGGAGGCCGGGTGGTTGCCAACACGACGAAAAAACACAGAACCACGGCAACAAGACTCTGACAAACATTTTGAACGCCAAACGAGGACAACTACCAACAAAACGAAGCAGCACACTCTTGCCATGAAATATTTACACTGCACGGTAAACACCATGCAAGAACGTGGTGGTACATTTTCACTCCGGCCTGCGCCTTTCTAAGCCTAGGTCCGACCCTAGGTGGAAGCACCGCCAATTTCAAAAGATCCCCCCTATTTGGCGTTGCGTCTCCATGCAGTGCAATAGGCGGAGCGTCTTCGGCAATCAATCTTAGATGGTACATTGTTGTAACGATTATATGGATGGGATCAATCGCGCAGCTTCGAGAGAGAGTCCACCGCGTGGGTGTACAGCGCGGTCGCCATCCTGGCCGTGTCCCACCGAGGGCTGTAGCGGTAGTCCCTTCTGTCCAGGGACCAAGACTTTTCCGAGAGGGAGTCGCACAGGGTCAGCTGCGGCGGGCAATTGGGGAAGTCGGGGCCGATGTCCACCCGGAGGATCCGGAGGAATATCAAGTTATCCACCTTCACCTACGCAATTGAGGAATGTACGCGTGGGTGTGATTCGGCAAAAACAGAGAGAAAAGTTGCATGCGTGTGGGTGCGGTTCGGCAGAAACAGAGGATGAGGAGAGATGGATGTAGGAAGAGCGTAACGAAGGTAATGGTGCACGTTTTTCGTGTCGTATTGCGGCACTGCGAAACGGCATACTTAGCCTTGATCTCGGAGTAAAGGTGCGAGACCCCCCTTGTTGCATTTGAGGCACCACCAACTACGAATCGAACAATGAGCAAATATTTTTCAACCAAATGAGACGGCCATCGCACCAAACCATGCAATTAGAGCGCAGAGGGAGAGACTGGAGCATGAGGCAAAAACAAACACTCGACGACAGTCACATGAAGCCGAACAAGGTGTCGAGAATGTATGAAAGATAGAGAGATGCAGTCACCACTAAGAACCCTCGGAACACCACAGGATAAAAAAGATACAAGTACGGCACAACCGTGTGCCCTTGTTTTTCCTTCTCTCTTACAATAGAGTTGGAGAACAACACAACCATTCACAACGAGGTGGAGGGCACCACCAAGTCCTGTAGACACAACAACGAGATGCAACGGCACTAACACCGAAGACCGCTCTCACGAGTCCCGAAAAAAGACGCCAACCAGAAATCAGTCCAAGACGCAACCACGCTTGTTAGCAGGTTAATACAACAGGCCAACACGCAACGCGCTTGTCGGTATGTAGATAGGCCAAACAGGTATCTATGATACCTTCATGAAGAGGTGGAGCATCGTGAAGTCCCGCGCGTCGTACTCGAGCACGTTGTACCGCTTGGCGAGCATCGCCACCAGGTTCTTCCGCTCCGACCACGGCTTCACCACCGCCGCCTGGGCCTCGGACAGGTAGTCGCCGAGCTTCGTCTCCGAGGTCCACGGCGGTTGGCGGAACCCCATCGTGAGGCCTTGGGCCTCCTGCGGAAACAAGACTCGGACGTCTTTTTTTTTTTGTATCCGTCGTCGATGTCGATGCCGAAGCGTTGTTGTTGTTGTGGTCGATGTTGATGCCGTCGTTGTTGTCGATGTTGACGTCGTTATTTCGACGTCGAATATATATTCGTTACATGGAGGGGGAAGGTGGGGAAAGTTGAGGGCGGAGCAGGGGTGGGGGTGGTGAGAGACGTCGTTGAGGCGGCAGCGTGGAGTAGAGGAGGGGGATGGCCGGGGGTACAAGGAAAGGAAGCAAAGCGACACCGGCGGCGGCAAGTTCCACCAAGACAACGGGCAATACTTTGACGACGTAGAAATATTTCATAGTGCTCGCATGATGGCTGGAGCGGCAGCGATGCGGCTCCTGTGTTGGTTGCGTCTCCTGGCCACAACCGTATGCTCTCCCAACCAGTGGAGCACGCTAAATACTGAAACAACAAGAGCCAGCACACAACTAAAACGATATCATGACGGTGACGCCAACAAGCACCTTCCGCACGTTACGTCCGCACAGCAACTTGAGCAAGTGCTGTGGTAGATTGATACCAGGGACGAACGACGCGCTTCCCAGCATACGGGGGGAGCGAGGATGGTGCACAATCCGATAGTGCCGTCGCGGCGAAAGTACGTACCGGCGGCAACGCATGAACCCATATACCCAACCTGTTGCTGTTCACGAAAGGATTCGTTTCGAGGCCGAGCGACGAGCATAGACTTCAAACCTCACTGGCGAGGAACCAAGGCTGCCCCGCCTACTGTAGCAACAACAGAAACGTGTCCCGGTCACAAACGACAACGGCAACGAAACCACGGAGCCCCCCCCCCCAACCTGGTGGTCTTTTGCCATCAACTTGCGTCCACTCCATCCGCAGCCTGACCCCCGCTCGGCCGTAGACGAACATCGGCCCTTCGCCCTCAACATCTACACCCCCGCCCTCTCCCTCTACTGCCTCTGCCCCTGCTTGTGCTGCTGTCGATGCCGTAGCGGCGGCCGTCGTCGGATCAGGCCAGAGAGGGAACGCCAGGCGCACCCCTGCCCTCGAAACGAGCAACTCTACGTCTTCCTGCCGGTCTCGCAAGTAGTCCAAGTGGAAGCTCATGGCGCTGGCGGCAGCGGCAACACGCGTGGCGATGGACAACGAAAAAAACACCGCATGCATGCGTTGCATTCAGGATGATGACTTTGGTGTACAGCCTCCTAGGAAGGCCCATGACTGGTACCACCGGGGCGACGATTCAACGGAACGACACAGAAGCATGTGCAGCTTTGATGAAAGAAGGGCGTTGGAAGAAAACAGGGAGCGAATGTTTGACTTCGAAAGGCCGGCGGGTGGTGCAGGTCGTGCACTGAACCAGCGACGCACGCGTGTGCCCTTTCACAAGCCGGTCAAACGTTGTGTTCGCATGCTAACAACAGCAACACCACCCTCCCAAGCATCCAACATCACACGGAGTTTCTACCCTGCCCCCTGTTCCCTCTGAACAATCGGGGTCCCTCTAGAGAGGTCGGGAATACGCCAGGACGACGACATGGCGGGTACCCGCCCTACTCAAAGGACAACACATTTCATCATACTACCTGCTGTGCCAAAAGATTTTTTTTCCGCCCTACACCGGCCACCCCACCCTATGTGACCCGCCCTACAGTCTAGAGGGACCCCGGCTGCACCCCTTCCTGTGCCTTGACACGCCTGCGGGCTGCTGCTATCTCTGTAGAAAAATACTCGTACGTGGTACTTCGTAGAAATGTCCTCCTTCTCACCTCGCGAGCGGCGAATTCTCCAGCTTTTGTATTTCGTGTTTTCTGTGTTCGGACAGAGAGGATTTGGTACGAAGGTGACGGAAATCGGGGAAGGGGGGGGGGCGGTGCCGACGAAAAGCGAGAAGGGAGGGGTTAACATTGACGCTAACCGGACCCTCAGACGCCGTGTTACGAAAAATCATTAACATGCATCTCTGAACTCGGAATAAACCTGATGAATGGTGGTCTACTACCCGGGGCAACGGCAAGATGGGGCACGGGGGCCGGGGGAGGGGAGGGGGGGAAATATCGTCAGCGGTGCCCCACTGTACACGGAGATGTCACCCCCCGCGGCCCCATACGACAGCACTACCGAACTTTGTAACGCCATTTCGCCAAAAAGCAGCAGCTCCAGTGCCTTGACCGAGAGACTCAGGCCAAAGCTGACCACTTGACGGGGGGTTGATTTTGATGACGGTGGGAAACAATCCTCAACAAAACAAATACACGGAGCACACACAAAAAAAACTTCTCACCGTCGGAGTTGCTTGATGTCCAAAGCGAGGGCGGCAAGAGAGCTGGGACGTCTGAAAAGGTCCCACTTCTTAAGGCTGTCCAGGGAGGCCAAGCGGTACGTGTTGTACGCCTCGTGCATGCCCTGCGTAAACCCCTGGCGGTGGCAGCGGCAGCAGCAACGAAGAAGAGAGCGACGCAACACAAAAAGTACAGGTCGCGAAAAGAGGGAAAGTTGAGGACAAAAAATGAAGAAACAAATCGTGATGTGGGACATAACGCCTTCTTTTTCCTCTTCTTCCCGTGAGCATGAGGGGGTACGCAGAGTACACACATCGACGCGTCAGTGGGCACAAGAAAAAAAAACCCAGCAACAATCCCCCACGCCCGCCCGCACCGCTCACCCCTTGACAAAACCAGGAAACAACTGACTTAAAAAACAAACAACACGCCCCATGATGTATCTATCCACTCCCACTTCTCCAAAATAAACAAAAAAGAAAGCGTCCTACACGTAGAGTATGTCTACTGTACCCTGTTGACGTCGCCTTCGGTAGACGGGAACGGCACCAGGTCGGGGCTCCTCTCCGGCGCGTCCCCGTCGATGACCACCTCCCACTCCGCCCCGGACTCGCAGTACGGGATGAACACGCTCACCACGATGTCCTCGCTCTGGGCGAAGCCCCCCGTCACGGGCTCTTGCAAACTCGCCTGGGATATGGGGCGCGTCAAGCGACAGCGCGCGGAAGTGTGTACATACGCGTGCATTGCACCAGACGTAGGGCGAGCGTATGCATAATCTTTGAACGATTTTAGCCGGCTACATTATAGTAGCGGCTACGGTTTAACATATGACGTTTAACAGAAAGTTCGGGTTTAACAGCGGTGAACTGGCTTGGAACGGCCAAAATCGGTCGAACAGAAAATTTGTCATATTTCTGAGATTTTCTGTTAAATCGAGCTTCTGGAGGCCGCGCCACGTACAGAAGTGGTTTGTCCAGTGGGTGATTGGGTGGATTTCCTCTTGGATGCTGGAGCATCCGTGAGCTCTTGTTGTAGTTCCGCAAGAGCTGCGAGTAGCAGCACATCTACGACAAGGCAACAACACTGCAGAGGTCTGACGCGCGATTTGTTTCCCAACACTTCCTACTAAGAGCGCCATTTAGTTCCCAACACTTTTTATCAAGAGCGTACAACTGGTCCATATTGCTCGCCAACCATCAGATAAAGCGGTGTGTGGAGCTAGCCCAAGGGGCGGGCGCTACCTGCGTTATGTAACATGAATGCTACGCTTTCCATCAAGTCTTACGGCACATACTGCTTTTGTTGGGACGACTGGGTCCAAGTTTCACGGCCTTTCGATTTGCCTACGGTTAAACATAATATAATGTTAAACCGCAGCCAAAACGGTTTTAACAGAAGTCCCGATTTAACAGAGGGATTTGGGCTTGTCACGACCCTTTGTTTAACCGTAGCCGCTACTGTATTCGTATATATCCCGTCGAAAAACACGCCAGTCTTGTGCGATGTGTGGCGGGACGCGTACGTGTACGCGAAGGTCCATGCGTGCATTGCATCAGAGGTAGGGCGAGCGTTTCACCTTCGAAACATTTTCGGAAGTATTTAGCATCGACCGCGGTTGTTGTAGCCGGCTATCCCATCGAAAACACGCCAGTCTATTACGGTATGTAGTGGGGAAATGAATGCCAACACGCCGCCCCCTAGGCATCGGGCTCCCCCCCGCCCCCGGGGAGACAGAAGGAGGAGGAGAAGGAGGACGGACGACAGGGTCCGGTCTCCGGATTCACAACGCACTTTGCAAAAGCGTGGTTGGCGTGCGTGTAACGGTCGCAGCGTCGTCGTTTGGTCTATTTGCGCCATGTCACAGTTGTCAATGCTACCTGGTCTGGATATCTAAAATACGTACCTCGGCCCAAACGTACCAAAAGATCACGACCAGTTTGTTTCCTTCAGGAACCAGACCCACACCGTACCCCGACGTAAGTGCATCATTGGTTCAGTGGTAGAATGCGTGATTGCCATTCACGCGACCCGTGTTCGATTCACGGATGATGCAATCCTTCCATTTTTTTACGTCGCCGCCCGATAGGTCATGCCGTATGTACATCATCCTGTCACCGTTTTTGACACCCGGGGGATGAAATTGAACCATCCCCGGGTTTCCAACTGGGTAGGAAATAAGCTACCCACAGAACACATGCGCACGGAAAGGGAGGCTTCCCTGAGCGCTACGTAAGGCACGCTACCGCCACCACAGACAACAGTTTAACACCCGTTCACCATCTCCGCGCCTTCAGAACCCAAGGCTTGGTGCTCGAGAGCCTGTATTCATTGAAACCGTGCACTCTTGCTGTCGACCACCCAGCAGATACAACGGCAGGCACGCAGCAAACGACGTACCCTCGGATAGCGCATCCCAGCAACAACACCCGCGTACGGCTAACGCAAGCAATGGACGTCTTGCCACTCTCGGCACTGCAGCTGCGTACGTCGAGAGGGCTAGAACATTGTAGCACTGCAGTATTTGCAACTATTCTGTCTCGACTGTTCAATAAATAAACTCCTCCTCCTCCCCTTCTCGCCGTCGGTACAATCCCTGCGTCTCGCCTTTTCCTTTTTCTATTGCGCTTGGCCGACTCAACCGCTCGCCCTCTCCCTCGGTCAGTAGATACCATCTCTGCGTCTCGTCTGCTCACTACAGTACTTTAGTCTTGCTTGACGCGCGACGCATCCTTGGGAGCGATCGTGGAAAGCAACGACAACGGCGGGCAAAAGTCACCCGCGGATGTTCAAGGACGCATCAACCGACTGGTCGACGAGCGGTCGGTTCGAGGGACGGTCCGACAACAGCGGCAACGTAGGCGATGCGGGGGGGCCTCCCGTCCGTCGTTATTTTGCGACGTGCGGAGCCCCCCTGAATCGGCTAAGTTGGCGCCGCTGCAGGCCTCCCCCCGAAGCGGCCACTCATTGACCAATCGGTTGACGTATTCTACAACAACGGCCGGCGGAGGCTTTTTCGTCCCGGCTCTTGTTTGGTTCCACGACCGCTGCCAAGGATGCATCGCGGCGTGAAGCAAGAGTTTTGAGCAGACGAGACACAGGGATTGTACCGTACCGACGGGGGACAGGAGGAAACCTCCAAGACAGAGGCGCGAACACTGCGGTGCCGAGTGGTGGCAAGAACGTGTATTGCTTGTGTTAAATCGTGCACGGGTGTTGGGTTCCTGAGCTGCGCGGTACTGTCTACGAGCCCAACGAGGGTCCGTGCTCCCAGCAGTGAGCAAGCAGCCCGCACACATGCCAACGGCCCTAGCGTCGAGCTCCGTGAGGTTTCACATGCAACCTCCGTCTCGAGGACGGTAGCGTCAGATTTGTGTTCTCGCGCGTCTGTCGGTCCCCGATCACATCGGTGCACAATTCCGGAACAAGGCAACACACACGCCGATGACCAATAGGGCTAGTCAGCAACAAATATTATGTCTTCAAAACGAGCCCGCCGCGCATACGACAACATCATCAGGAGGCACAACAAAGTGTGCGCACTCGTAGAGAGGTAAATTTCCGTCGCCGTATTTCTCGCACCACATATGTACCCTACACGGCCTCCATGTTGACGAGACGGAGATATGAGTTGTCGACAAGCCCTGGCGGGTCTTCGCTTGTGATAAACCTGTTCCAGAGGTGGTCACCTTGCTCCTAGCTCTCAACTTGGCAAGCACGACCGGGCCATATCCACGGCCGCTTTTCTTTGATCCAACCACCGTGACGCTGGACATGACAGAAGTCGAGGACGCTCAAGAAGGGGGACAGCGGAACTGGAAAAACCAAAACTCTTGCTACCCCCGCCGCGCCAGGTGAGGGAGCGGCGCGAAGCCATCGCAAGGAGATCTCGCGCCCTCGTTTCATGAAACGAGGGCGTTATCTCTTGTGAAGTCATCGCAGCGCTTCTCCCTCACTTGGCGTGAGGGGCGGGGAGAGTTTTACATTGGCCGTTCGCTGTCCCCCTTTCGGACAACGCCCTCGACTCGCTGCGAGGCTGACGTCATGCCAAGCAACCGGATCAAGTGGGATCGAGTCCACGGCAACCGCTGCTGTCTTGTCATCAACTCTTGAACTGAACTTGCCAAGCGCAGCAGCGGGCGACTCCACACGAAGGAAGCTGCGAAAGCTGCTGATTTCACTGCTTGCGCGTGCTGTCGCAGCTAAACAAATATCGCCCAGCGAGTTGCAGCTTTTTCTTGGGGGGCTTATCTTTCCATGGATCCGGGCGTGTGTGTGCTGTGTGTCTAGTGTCTAGGTTCTCTACTGTTGTGCCTGCTGGGTGGTCGACAGCAGCTGGGCTCGGTTTCATCGACTACTGGCTCTCGAGTGCGAAGCCTTGGGTACTGAAGGGGCAGGCAGAGAGGCGAAAAGGTGTGACGCGGTGGCGGTAGCGTGCCTTACAGATCGCTCAGGGCAGCCCCTCTTTCTGTGCATATGGTCACTGGGAACCTACAGTGTTATGATAGGAAATCCGGGGATGTTTTCCTATCATCCCCTGATCGTCAAAAAAATATTAAAACGATGACATGGGTGTCATGTGTCATGATCATCTCCCGCACACCTGTGTGACCGGGGCTGAATCGCCAAACAGATACACCGAAATGACGTGTAGAGGCTGGCGCCAGAATAAATCGGAAGAGCACACACACATTGAAAGGAGGTTGGTGGAGGCAGCAACACCATGCCAAGGAGGGCCGAAACGAAGACGAGAAGTACAGTCGACCCTGTTTTAAGGACGCTCGCGTTAAGGAAACTCCCCGCTTCAAGGAAACCTTTTACGCTGAGCACCAGGGGGCCCGGCAGAATGTACGATAATGGGGTACCCCCATTTTTTTCTGCCGTGTACCCTCCTTTTTGTGTCCTGCGGGCCGCTCTTTGCATGCACCACGCACCACAGTGAGTACAGAAGTAGCGACGCACAGACAGCGGAAGTAGCGAGCGGTCTGCTGCTGCAGCTGTAACTGGGTGTTGGTATGGATAGATTCCTCCCATCTACCGGCGGTCCATCTGATGCCGCCAAAAAAAGAGTCGTGCATAACCTCGTCCCTCACGAAGGCGAGGTTACATCTCGCTTGGAGGACGTTCGATCCTATTTGTACGCGAAGGGAAGGGGCGGCGAGTACCGTGAGACGCAGCACCTTCTTTCGAAGGCCGTTCATTCGTATACTCATGAAACTCAACAGCGCCGTAGAGCCAAGCCGCGGGGGGAGGTTCAGGGAACTCTTTGCGAAATGTGGAAGGAAAAGTCGCCCAAGGGTAGCTTTTCGTCTGCGCCGGGACAGTTATTATATGTACTGGTGTTCCTCGGTGCGACGCTGAAATACGCTCGTTGTTTTTTGTTTCACAAGAATGAGATAAATGTGTCTATGTCGACTTTCCTCCTTCTTCCGCTGCCGGCTATGCAGTACACTGGTTGCAAGAGTACAAACTTGTGCACTGTAGTTAGATGTTTTCAACACGTCCCCGACTGCTGCACATCTCATGTTTAAGTATTGTTAATGTGTTCGACGTCAACAAACGGTTGCCAGTCGTCTCGGCGATGCTGACTTTCATACCACACCGTTCCTAAGGAAAGAACGCGTTTGAGGAAATAGCATGCCTCCATTGGCCACGGGGATGGGGAGCTATCGTCCCCTACATTTTAAGGACGCAACCCCGCTTTACGGACGCTTTTTTTCGGGAAAAACCATGTGCGTCCCTAAAGCGGGGTCGACTGTAGAATAATTGTACTGTAGGTTCGGTAGAACGGCGTTCTCTTCATCTACACCATTCTTCCTGCCGCCGCCTGCTTGTCTACTCCCGAGAATAGCTCACAGTCCCATGACGCCCCCCTCACGGGGTCCCACCCAGCCATCGCCTTGAGAAGCTCTTTCTACATCAGCCTTGGAAACTGACGTATTTTCATTGGTCAGCCGGTTAGCGCGGTGGATGCTAGCAACAAGGAGACACGCAGGGTGCCCCGCGTGCTTGTTGTGCATCCGCAAAGCACACGCCCCCATTCCGTCACTTCATTTCGGAACGGGAACATGACGATACCTTCATACCTTCACCCCAAAATAGAACAAACACCAGTCAAAGTGTGGGCAGCATACCGTGTAGCCAGCTTCCAAGGTTGTGCAGACGGGTTAGGTTGTGTACTACAGATTGTGTACTCGTACTTGTCTACCTTCGCGGCGCACAGCAACTTACTTCCTGCTGAGGTTTGTCTATATCGCTCAGTATGGAGTTTGCAAGCTGTTTACAGCGAGACGAGTGCAAACGGCAGGCATCCGATGCTCTCGTCGTAAGGAATACTGGCTATGCCTAAAAGAGTGCGATTTACTGAATCATATGAAGTGAAGAGAAAGGTAGGCATCATACGAATGCTCAGCGGCGAGCAAAACTCGCTCTGTTTCAGGGACAAAGAAAGGTCTTTCCAAACGAACGCCTAGCGCGTGGCATTGTCTACGAGTATCTCTTCTCACCTGAATACCCCAGGCATTTTGACGAGAAGAACGCTTCAGGCAATCGATCTGATCTCGCACTGCGCTCAACACCACGTTACCCTTAGTGCGAACCATTTCACACACCTGTTATGCGGCACTCAAGCACAATTGAGCGCAGTTGTTGCTCTTGCTCCTTATCTCAGGGAGGCCGCAAAGGACTTGCAAAGGACGCAGAGGGGCATCGCAGAAGGTATCGTACTTCAGGGGGAGCTCCATGGAAAAAGTTTGTTTGATTTGCCAGCCCCTGCAACAAAGAGAGGCCAAACTGCACATTTTTTCCCTCTACACTTCGGGTGGGGCGAACATAATGCTTCTATAAAAACCTCACGCTCGATCTGGAATAGGTCAGTCTCCATGCGCATGGAAACGCACCATAAGAACTCCCTGACGATTCTCGAGTCGGGAACCTGAAGAACCTGCGGAACGGATCGGATCCTTTCAGTATCCATCCGACAGTCCCGCCGCTCCCTGACATCCTGTGTGTGTGTTTTTATTATTATATTAGGAGAAACAAATATACACACAGAAAGATATATATAGCATCGACCGCGCTAACCGACTGACCAATTAAAAAACGTCTGTGTGTGCTTTTATTATTAGCATCGACCGCGCTAACCGGCTGACCAATGAAAAGACGTCAGTCTCAGTGCGGCGGGAAACACAAAATGTTTCTAATAGTCCACTGTCTGGGACCTCGGGACCGAGCGTCGTAGGGGGAGCTACGCTATTCTCAGGATTAAAGACAGATACCGTAGTAATAACAGAAGAAAACTGCACGTGTCTACTAAGCGTCTGTGTGTGTTTTTATTATTAGCATCGACCGCGCTAACCGGCTGACCAATTAAAAGACGTCAGTGCCAGCGGGTAAAAATCAAGGTCCCTGGAAGGGGGCCAAAATTCGAAAAATGCGCAATGCTCTTGATGCGAATGCCAATACGACTCTCTCCACATGTTCTTTCACGTAGACACACATCTCAGCTACACAAATGTATTCGCTCGAATCTAGGAAGCCACTGATGCAAAGAGCGGAGTACAGCAAAAGGGTTATTTTGTGTGTGTGTGTGTGTTCTGGCGCCACGTCAATGTCTCTGACAAATATGTGTATGGGCATCGCATGAACATCAGCGCGGAACAGCCCCCCCCCCCACTTTGTCATTGTTCATTCTTTGCAAAAAATAGCAGCGGAGGCCAAACATGCTGATGACGACATCGATGTTCAGGAGAGTGTTAGTAAAGGCTTACCCATTAGACTACTCAGTCAGCGCTGACTGCGTAGTCTAATGGTCAGCCTGTATCGGATAAAAGATACACTCTCGGCTCGTAGCCAATCCCAGTGGATCTGATAGGGTGTAGTGATCTCCGGGGACGGACCCCTCGCCTCAAGATGCTGCTATTAGCCGATAATGGTGCCTTGAAAGCGATCCACTGGGATTCGAACCCGTGTGTGAATCCTTTAGTAGCCAATTGTTAAACCATTTGTCTAGTCGGCGCTGATTTAGTAGTCTAATGGGTAACCCTTTACCAATCGAAGGATACACGCACAGGTAGGTTCAAATCCCGGGCTGATCACTTTACGAAAATCACCATCCGGGCTGTGAGTAGAGATCTCCGGGGACGGACCCCTCGCCAGGCGCTGCCGAGAACAGAACTATGGTGCTTTTCGTAAAGTGATCAGCCCGGGATTCTACGAGCCGAGAGTGTATCTTTTGTTAGTAAAGGCTTACCCATTAGACTACTCAGTCAGCGCTGACTGCGTAGTCTAATGGTCAGCCTGTATCGGATAGAGAGGATCTTTACCGAGGTCTGCCGAGCGGCTACAAGAAAAAAAAAGTGCGAACAGCAACCTCCCCGCTGCTCTGCTGTGTGCCGGGCAGTCCCATTTCTCGGCGCAGAGTTACGAGGTTGGGATATTAGCAGAAAGCTATGGCTTCGTCTCTAACCGGTACCGTACTGAATGAGAATTGGAAGCTGGGGGCTCGAGTGGGATCCGGAGGGTGTGCGGAGGTTTAGACTACGAAGTGGAAGCGACCGGCTCTCGGGCAGAAAGCGCAGATGGGCCGTTTGTTGCCAAGATCGCGCCTGTGCCTGTGGGCCTCCCTCCCGCCGCGAAGAAGGCGAGGTATGTATACAAGCGAAAGACGGAAAAGGAGAAGCATGCGGATATAGACTAATCCGCTACGAGCACGTGCTGTACATGGGTTCTCTAGCCAAACATGGAGGGGTGGTTGAGGTGCGTGCAGGAATATTCTACGTTTGTTTGTTTGCTGTCGCCCACAGTCAGCCGTAAAAGACCAAGCTGCTGTCATGCAGTACATGGTCCCTAGACTATGTAATAGGGCGCGTGTGAGAGGTGCTGATGGCTTCGAGTTGACAATCAATCAACCGACGATTTCGTGTGACTTTACATACGCTCAAGCGTGAGTTTTCGACCACTCACAGCACATGGCATTCATACCCACCACCTCGCGGAACCGGAAGCGCCGCCGCTGCGAATTCGGTTTTTAAATAATAGTCTACAAATAGCGCGATTCCAAAATCGGAATCCTTCCACAAGAGTCGGCCTGACAGCTCTGTCGTGTTCAAGCATTTGTCTTCTACCAACCAGAGCAAACAAGGACAAACGAAAGCTGGAAACAAAAAACACGATGTACACACGAAACAATTGTTTTCAAATCTTGTTGCTGTCCACACAAAGGCTTTGACTTCTCTGAATAGTCACATATGAGGGCTATGATAACACGCCGAGTCACACGACACGAGAGAAAAGAACTTAACAGTAACTCGGCGCAGCTACATCATTTCATGCCAAAGCCCACCGTCGTTTCTTTGCAAACATGACAGTCCCACCAGAATGTCTGGAGCACATGGGGTTTTTGCGAAAGAAGGCCGGTCAGAACCTTAGTCCGAAAAATGCAATTCTTGCTTGACCTTGTACCGAGACCTTAAGCCCTGCGCGTAACGCGCACTTGTGTACCATCGTGCACCACACTCTTTTTTCTCCAACAAGAGTAACATCAGCAAGACACACAACCCACATCGTGGCACACCTTCCGCTCCCAACTGCAGCGCAACCTCCCACCGCTGTCGTTTCGTGTTCAGATCCACGGAAGACCGGGATCAGGAAAAAATAAACAGACCCCGAGCAAAACAGGTCACCTTCTACATAGATATATGTCCGCGGCATTAAGACCGTGTCGTCTAGCCTGCCTGTTCGCTTTCAGCCGTCTTGCCACCACCACTCCGGAGACATGAAAGGGTTACGGGTAACCCAAGTGCAGAAAAACAATTCAAAGCCCCCGGGGCCACAATCAACCTAAACAAGACGGACATTGGCAGCGCGAACACACACGGAGAGGGGGTGGTCGCCGCCGGAAGTTTGCTTGGGCGACCCGTGAACGGCCCTTGCGTGTTCACGGATCAGATCCGGATCCCGGCGTGACGACCGTCCTCCGTTCCTCCTCTCGTTATTGTTGCTTGCTGCATGTTTCCCCCCCGGCTGAGTGAAACAAGATGATCTACGATCGTACAAGATGACCTACGGTGACACTACCCTACAGCTCAAGTACATTTCATGAATCGCTCGCTCACACCGGACGCAAGGACGCCAAAACCAACCAAGTCCGCTCTCTCCTTGCGAGACCAAGCGGCATCTCAGCAGCCCCCAACGCGTCGACCAACCAACTGCTCGGCGCGTCAGACTCGGAAAGAAAAAACGCTTGGATCAGGCAGCAACACATCCCATGATACCAAGCGAGAGATCAGAAGAGACAGACCACGTTGACCCCGGCATTGGAACAAGAAGACCACAGCAGTCCGGTACCGTCAAGTTCATTCCACAGGGGGGACGGACCGATATGACGACAACAGAGTCTCGAGCAGCCCGAGCCGTTTCAAAACAACACCGCATTCAGGGGGACCTTCCGAACAGACCAAACTCTCCCAAACACAGCAGCTGCAGCTGTGCACCCGATCCGAGAACCACACATGCGCACGCCTTGCTCCCAGCGGACTGCCGGTTATGGTAAGGCTCAGACGAAGTACATGACGTTGGTCAGGCTCTGGTGCACCGAGCTGAAGCAGCGGGCCCAGTCGATCTCCCTGGCGCCGCCGTCCCTGCCTTGCACGACCGAGGACGACTCGGAGGAGGAGTCGTCTCCCACCTGCTCGTTGAAAAAGAACATAACGTTGGTGGGGTGGTTCTGCACGACACTGCATCACATCCACCGGTAATTACTGCTTCTACCTGGTACAGTATGTCGAAAAAAAAAACAATACCGAGGAGGGGTTTGCAGACACCCTTTGGGCGTTTCACTCTGCATGATACGCCGCGTAAATATGGAAAACCAATGGGAGGGCGAAATCACTTCGCGATCGATCGTCTACGCATGTGGCCACACTCACGTTGACGAAGAACTGGGCGCGGAAAGCGACCAGGTGGGCGTAGTACACGGCCGGTGGGATGGACACGCTGCGGGTGCACCGGCAGTACATGAAGCACAGGCTGCAGCAGAGCGGAAGGGAAGGAGAGCAGGAGGACGAGGACGGCGACGTGAAAAGCGAAGCAAGCGTGGAAACCGAGTGTCGAACAAAACTGCTGTGGTGTACTACAACCACGCCAGAGGGGGCATCGTCAACAGAAAACTCGGTTGTGCGCCAAGGAGAGTTACAAGTAAGGCTGAAAAACATTTGGAACGAACAACAACAACAACAACAACAACAACAACAACAACAACAACAACAACAACAACACGACAAGCCCGCGCTGCAGAATACACTCGAAGGACAAAAAAACACAGAAAAACAAAACAATCCAAAGCGCGACGCCAGGTACATGTTTCGGTCCGAGACGATATCAACGCACCGCTACACCAAACTAAACTACGACTACCCGTCGACTGGACTCACTGGTAGCACAGCAGCTGGAGAGAGTCCGAGTCGAACGCGTTCTCTGAAAAAAGAAAAAGTTGACACGGTAGAGGAAAGGGGGGCGGGGCGGGGGGGCGGTACGGTACGGTAGGCAGAATACACGTGAGTCGAGGGCGGTCGATCAAATACTGCTGTCATCAAGACGGCAGCTATAACACCGTGACTACCATGTCAACTCGAGAGTTTCCGCCGCCATCCCGATCGGTTGCTGCTGCGAAAGCCATGTCACTCGGTTCTATTGGTGGCGAACCTTCGCGAGCTGTCGCCCTCGGTACAAGAAGCGACGTCATGTACATAAAATCATTTGACGCTTTGCCGTACAGCAGCACGGGCAACAATGGAACTTCACACATCAACAAGGCAAACCTCAAGGATTTCTCCGAAACCGAGCCTTTGGCCAGACGGTTCTATGCTGTCGTCGTCCTCAACAGTTCACGAAATCGCTGGCGGCCGGGAGCAGCGCAGGTCAAGCACCATACATTTGCGACACCTTGCGCTAGAACTTTGGACTTCGCCCGCGATCACCAACCAGCAAAACAAGCAAATTATAAAGGAGGCGAACTACAGCGGGGCACCCTCAAATGAATAGTTAGACAGAGGGGGGGGGGG